CAATACATTTTCATAGTAAAAAAAAGAAATATTAGAAATACATTTTCATAGTAAAGAAAGAAATATTAGCAATACATTTTCATCGTAATAAAAGGGAATATTAGCAATACATTTTCATCGTAAAAAAATAAATATTAGCCATACATTTTCATAGTAAAAAAAAGAAATATTAGCAATATATTTTCATAGTAAAAAAAGAAATATTAGCAATAAATTTTCATAGTAAAAGAAAAAGAAATATTAGCATTACATTTTCACAGTAAAATATTTCCCAGCAATAAACACTTTCATACAAAAAAATTAGCAGCATTACGTTTTTGAAAAAAAAAAAACGACATTAAATGTCCAAAAAGGAGTTGATATTTCTTTAGACAAACCAAACCTGTACCTCTCCCAATTATGTCAGCTTTCCCCCAAAGTGTCTTGTGAGGCGGAAGGATTTATAGAAATAGTTCCGAACAGGCCAAAATCAAAAGGGACAACTTCAGCTACTATTTGGTATATATAAATAATTTGGCCTAATAAGTTATGGTACCTTTGTACTTTGGCCGTTCTGCCTTCAGGGTGCTCTTATATACAGGTACCGTAACGTCTGTCAGTGTTCATTCATACTTGTGCACAAGTGTGATGTCAGGGCGATTTCTGTCCAATCGCTTGTCAGTCGGAATGCTCTCATCCCACACGAGCTTCAATTGCTCATTTTCAGTTACTGACAGTGGGGGATACTCGTACACTTCTCTGGGCATTCAAGACAATACTTCATGCATTTTTCTCATTGTCATGGCGTATTATCATTATTATTATTATTTTATTTCCTTTGATTTCTTGTGTGTACATATTTCTTTCCGGTTGCCGACAGAGACCTAAGGTTAGAAATGGCATCATGACATTTTCCACTGACAAATTAAAAAAACACAAACATATTTTACATAGATAAAGTCCTTCGGAAGGTGTGTGTTGTACTCGTGAGAACAATTTTGTGTATTTCTTTAAGGCATGAAATACTAGTCTACTGGAATCTTTTCCAACCAATCCTAGGACTCCTACTACAACGGGGTTTGTTAATGTCCCCAAGTGCCACATTTTAGAGATTTCGATTTCAAGGTCCTTTTTTTTATAGCTTTTTGAAGATCGTCAAAGATACATTGCAGTCTACAGGGACTGCCATATAAATAAGGAGGCACCTTTTTTGTGTGCGATCTCTAATAACAATGTCTGGGCCGTTACCTTTGATTGTTCTGTGTGTATTGTGCTGTCCCATAAAATTGTAGCAGGTCCTGTCTCCGTAACCTGGTCTGAGTGGTGTTCATACCACTTTCTTTCAGTTTCCTTCCCGTAGAAGTGGCACATTTTCCAGTGCAAATATTGGCCTCTCTGTCGTGTTGGGTCTTATATTCAGTGGGTGCCAATACCGTGCAGCCTGATACAAGATGATCAATTGCTTCTGGATATTTATCAGAATCTGCATTTTGGACTAACACAATATTTTAGTATATGTGCTTGATAATTCCTAGTTATTATTATTATTATTATTATTATTATTATTATTATTATTTTCTTTGATTTCTGGCGTTTACACATTTCTTTCCGGGTCCCACTCAGGGACCTAAGGTTAGAAATGGCATCATGACACTTTCCACTGTTGTGTACATATTTCCAGACATCTAAGTTCAGAAAAGGCATCATGATATTTTCCACTGACAATTTTTGTAAAAACCAAAACAAAAATCCCTAAGATCACACACATTTTACATAGATAAAATTCTTCGTAATGTTTGAGCTGTACTTGTGAGTAAAATATTTTGCATTTCTTTAAGGCATGGGCTACCAGGAATCCCTTCAATGAGTCAATCGGAACCTTTCCCAATCAATCCGAGGGATCCAAATGCCACTTGGAATTATTGATGTCCTCATGTGCCACATTTTTGAGAGTTTTCCTTCAAGATCCTTGTATTTTGATAGTTTTTTTTAAAGATATTGAAAGGTACATTATTTACATTATTCGGACTATTGTCCTCATCTTTGTCGCCATATTTATCACAACATTTCGGCTGTTGTACGCTCCGGCCTTCTTCAGGTGGTTGAAATTTCGAACTGAACCCTTTATTTCGCTCACTGAGGTAGACTGTTCTAGTTCCAAGTGCAATATGAGCACTGGTAAAAATGTTTGCTGAAGATATTAGGTTTTTAATACCCAGAAATTCATACCCAGATGTCCTCAAGGACACATGGCACAGTGGATAATGGCATTGGTTAGATCCAGTGACACGACCAAAAGAGTGTGAGTTCAATACCCGGTTAAGGCAGTGGAGAACTTTCAGAGGGAAAATTAACAGGAGATAACTGATAGCTGACATCCATCAAACATTGCACGTGGAACTAGAACAGTCTACCCCAGTGAGCGAAATAAAAGGTTCAGTTCGAAATTCTAACCACCTGAAGAAGGCCGGAGCGTACAACGGCCGAAACGTTGTGATAAATATGGCGACAAAGATGAGGACAGTAGTCCGAATAATGTAAATAATGTATATAATACCTCATCTCAGAAATATTGAAAGGTGCCTTACCGTCTGCAGGGATTTCTATGTCAATAAGCAAGCACATTCAATTTTTGTGGTCTTTGAATTCAATGTCTGGGTGATTAGCTTTGATTATTCGGTGTGTGTGTGTGTGTGTATAGTAAAGTCCTATAAAATTTTTACAGATCCTATCTTTTTAACCGACTGATGTTCATACCAGCTTCTTGCAGTTACTTTCCCGTAAAAGTTTCATATTTTCCAGTGCATGTACTGATTCACTCTAGCATAGCGAGTTTTATATTCAGTGAGAGCTAACACTGTGCAACCTGATACAAGATAGTCAATTATTATTCATTATTTATAAAAGAATCTACATTGGGTTCAGCAGAATTTTTCAGTGCATTATTATTATTATTATTATTATTATTATTATTATTATTATCACCATTATATTTCGATTTCTCCTATGGTCACATTTCGCTCACTGGGGTAGACTGTTCTAGTTCCACGTGCAATATGAGCACTGGTAAAAATGTTTGCTGAAGACATTAGGTTTTTAATAAGCCAGAAATTCATACCCAGATGTCCTCAAGGACACATGGCACAGTGGATAATGGCATTGGTTAGATCTAGTCTGCGGCAAAACCTAAGGCAGGTAGATGTGTGTTGTTATGGCTACATTTCTTTTTCCAACTCCCATAGCATCACTAGCGTTACATGGACAAATTTCTTCTTATTGCGTGGCATGTACTTATCAAGAAAATTTTTGTATTTCTCTTCAGCTGGGATTTCCAAAGATTTTTCAATGTGATGTTGTGTTCCTTTTTTTATCATTCCAAGCGCACCTACTATGACTCGTGTTATTATTATTGTTATTATTATACTTAGAGAAGAGAAAAAGAGTGTATAACAGTATTTCGACAGTATGTTTGTCCAATTCAAGTTATGTTTAATGATTGCATACAAGTATTAAAAAAATATAAACGTCTTTGTGGAAACGTCGTTTATTTTGAGAAAAACGGTTGTACTAGCAACCAACGTAACGAAGCGAAGGAAAGGCAACAAGTGTGAATGGAATGCAACTGAAACGGAAGACTTCAAGACTATACTTCCTGCATTGTTCTCATTGTCATGGCACCGTCTTTATTATTAGTATTATTATTATTATTATATTATTATTATTAGTGGTAGTAGTAGTATTTTATTTCCTTTGGTTTCTTGTGTGTACATATTTCTTTCCAGGTGCCACCCAGAGACCTAAGGTTAGAAATGCCATCATTTCATTTTCCACTGACCAATTAAAAAGGGCCGTGATCATTTTAAAATTGTCCATTAGCTGATTACTTAATGGGAGCAATTAATGAAACAGTTTAGTATAAATCACTGTCATTTTTTCATCCCTCTCCACCAGGTTGGAACTTGTATATGTGATTATGTTCATGCTGTAGGGATGAAGGCTTCGGTAAATTCTGGCTATATTTTCAGAATGTTCGTCGAAATTACAGTGGTTTGTGATAAACATGTTTCGCATGTTTTGCAATTGTCACATTGTTGTGTTGGATATCAGACCTGAGGCCTTTACATCTTCTGTTTAATTTCCCGTTGTTACACACATAAATCAAGTTAGGTCTGGGAGATGTATGCATAATGGGAATCAGTGCAATTGCCACTTTCCGTAGAAATCGTAATGTTTCCCTTTGAATTTGTAATTGAATTTGCTTGACGCATGTTGCTGCACAATGAACAAGATTTCCCTCTTCATCATCTCCGTCTTCTTCGTCGTCTTCTTTTTGTTATTGTTGTTATTATTATTATTATTATTATTCAAAAGCCTTCAATAATGTATGTCACAAAGATCTGGTGGAACTTCTAAATAACCATGACATATGTAGGAAGCATATTAATATAATCCAGAACCAATTCTGGTAACATCCACATACGGATAGGAAATGACTACAATAAATATTAAAAGATAAAAGGGATACAAGACACGAAATGAATGCAGGAAAAGATCTGTTTCTCACTATAACTTTTCAATCTATACAGTGAGGTCATTCTGAGGCAACAGGACGCCATACTGGGATTCATTAATGGCAGCCACAATCTTAACCACATAAGATATGCAGATAACAAAGTGTTGGTAGCAGACAAGGAAAGAAAACAACAAGAACTCCTACAGAAGGTAGAAAAAGAAAGCAAGGATAAAGAACTAAACATCAATTGCCAAAAGACTGAATGCATGGTGATTTGTAAAAAGAACACCCTGTTATATACCGTACCTAAGAACCCTAATGGGTATGTCCCAATCCTTATAAATACGTTGGACACTATTGTAAGTGGGGGTAATCTGCTGTCTAAATTGTCTACCACTAGCTGTGGCTTACCTACTTCACGCCGCTGGCGAGTATTTTATTTTGTTGATGTTATAAAGATTACCATTTCATTTCCAACCTCCGTTTTGATTATTCCATATTCAGTAACCCTCTCTAGATTACAACATATAGATAGATAGATAGATAGATAGATAGATAGATAGATTAGAAACATAAAGATAATGTTATTTATTGTACCTATGAACACCAATGGGTATGTCCTACTCCTTATAAATACGTTAGGCACTACTGTAAGTGGGGGGGGTAATATGCTAAGGAGTCCACACATAGCAGTGGTTTACCTACTTCACCTCGCTGGCGAGTATTGTATTTTGTTGATATTATAAAGATTACCATTTCATTTCCAACCTCCATTTTGGTTATTCCCCATTCAGTAACCCTTTCTAGGTTACAACATATCCCAACAAATTACAAATTGGATATACCGAAATCAAACAGTTGCAAGAATTTAGATATCTTGGAATCGTATTAACAGAGGACAGAAAGTGAGACACGGAAATTCGGATAACGAAATATGTCTTCGAAAATCTAAGCAAAGTATTAAGAAACAGAAAAAATTATCGTTATAAACAAGAAACCGAGTACCAAATTGTTACGTAATATCATTCCTGCTATATGGCATTGAATGCTGGGCACTCTCGTCACGCATTAAAAAATGAGCTGACGCGACAGAAACGTGGTTCTACAGAAGGATACTGAGAATAGCTCGAACTTGTGAGAGACGACGAAGTTCTAGAAACAATGGCAACAAAAGAAACAAGTTGGGGAGAGAGCGTTTGGGAAATAGAAGCGATGCTTAACCTACCTGGAGAGCTTGAGGTAATGTATGACAGAGCAAAGTTTGGGAGTGGCGTCAAGAAAACAGAATTTATTAAGTGCTACAAGGGCCAGGAGACTGTGACATGGCACATAGAAGAAGAAAAAGAACAGAAAATCTGGGAATTGAAACAGGAATAACATACACAACCAGTAACCTTATACCGAGTGTCTCTCGTGCCTTGTATTGTTAGTATGTTTTTATATATGTTCAAAGGATGACATGTGATGTGGGCTCATGTCTGCATGATTGAACAAAAAGTGTTTTAGAAAGGCCGATTGTATATCCAGAGATTTTCTATTAGATCCCTTAGTTGGCTTTTATTTTTCTCTCTTTTGTTTTGTTGTGAGGAGTGGAATTGTTGCGATACGATATTAGCACAGTTCAGGGGATCTACATAAAGCCCAAATAAACAGGTTACGCACTCGGCATTCTAAAATATGATTTCTGATCAACTCTCGCTTCTCTATTTACTTTTCTTTCTGTCCGTGTGTCTGTGTATGTAAGAGCGCACGCATGTGCATGTGCGTGAGAGTTTGTAGAATGTATAGCGCTATCCGAAGCAAAAATGAAGATAATGAGAAAAAATGGAAAATCTATGAATGACGGGTTTCACCGAAAGCGCCTGCTCCCTCCGGCTTCTTCAGTTTAGAATGACAGATAAAACTGTATGTAACGAAAATGCGTCGGAATTTCTAAGGATAAATCAAATTATCTTATCACATCCAATGATACTTGTTTATTTGTTTACTAACAATTTCCCCACGGTGAGGTTCTCCTATATATATATATATATATATATATATATATATATATATATATATATATATATATATATATATATATCGACCTGAATATTCGGAAATTTTATTAGAAAATATGCGCTCTCCGGCATATTTTTCTCAAATATTCAGTGCCTGAGTAATAACATTAACCTAAATATTGTATTAGACCGTAAATACCTAAAAGACAAAAAGGGTTCACGTAAAAACATCAAAATTATATATATATATATATATATATATATATATATATATATATATATATATAATTATTTATTTAAAAATATGATTCCAACGCTACATAAGAATTCTCATGTTTCAAAACAAGAGCCGAAAAGTTCAATATAATAATTTGAATTAAAGTACTAAGCTCTGTTCCATCTTAAGCGAAATTAGTTTTTGGAATAACTTATTCCTGAAATTTACGCGTTTTATAAGCATATTCATTATTGAAATTATTTTAGGAAGATAATCGTTATATTTAATGGGGACATGTGCGTCATTAGATATTATTAGCGTTATTTTAAACAATGAAATTTATATCTAGCGGCGTAGAAATTGAGGATCTTACTAGAGGAAATGTTTTTCTCGGTAGGAACGGAACCCGTATTCCTTTGTTTCATCAGGGAAATCAGTTTCAAGACAAGTGTTCCTTAACAATTATACCATGTTAACGTAAGATTCATTTAACTTATTTAAGATACGTACATCTCTCGTTGGGACAATTCTAAGTCTATATCTGTTAAGTTTATTTTTTTTACCTGAAGAGTAAACTAAGCAATTAATTATATTTCAATAGTATACAAGTTATATTTAGTAATTATCGTATTTTACTGATTATAAGACTCATTTCTTCCTGTACAATATCTCCAAAATCCACCCCCGCGTCCTAGAAATCGGAGGTCGATGACTCAAGTTATTTTCTTTTCTAAATATTACAATCTAAATAGTTACTATAAAGTTTTTACTTCCACTCGGTCTGTGTATGAATTTATCATGATCAGCCCTCTTTTCCTGTTGAAGTATGCTCTTTTGTGGGTAACATTATTGATAGCGAGGAGGGCCATGAAGTATATGGGGAAAATATGTCTTCCCTGTGAGTGAGTCTTATGCATCGTGGCGTCTTAGAAGCAGCGAAGTTCGGTATACGGTTTAAAGTAATCTTCACTGACTTGTTTCGTTTAACATTGAAACTGTCGGAAGACTCATCTTCAGCAGTATTTCTGTCAGATTTTATTTTATACTGACGGATTTGGTGTGGAGAAAACTCGGACAGTAAGGCAACTCTGGAGCGTTGTACTTGAAACTCGACGTGAAAGGAGAAAGAAAGAAACGATGGAATTATTTCCTGTTGTAGCAGAATTTCACAGCGTCCCTGGGTAATAATAGTTTGAGATTGCAGGGAATTACCTCGTTGCTTACAAGCAATGTCTGTCCTTGTAATAATAACAGCATTTAATATCGTAACAGTATAACGTAGTAACAGACTAGAATAACCACCAAAAAAAAAATCTGGAGGGTTAAAAAGGGTCCTTTATAGCTTTTCTGACGGTCTCATTTAAATGTATTTTAGTCTCATCCATCTCATCAGATAGGATCTACAACACCAACGATAAAAATCTGGTCGTCAGAGAAAAAAAGATTCCCTGTTTTGTTTTTTTTTGTTTTTTTTACCGATCGTCACACAACTTGACTTCCATTACTTCCTGCCTCCACATCCAGTTTCTTGATGAATACAAATTGCAACATTTTCTTAGAATACATCTTAGAATAGATCATAAACAAGACACACTTTGAGAAACCTGACGTAATGTTACGCAGAAGGTGCCAAATTATCACATCCACGTTTCGCGTAGAGTATTAACATGTAAACTTCAGATATGACACAATTACGGTAAAAGAAACGGTCCTGTTAGTAGAAAAAGACTCTAAGCAACGCGATTTGAAGACGGTCAGCTGTTTGAATGTGAAAGACCCGTGGATGTTCCCTGGACTCCAAAGAGGTGCCTCCGCAGATGAACATTAAGACTGTGTCGTCTGTCAGGCTCCTGTGTGAGGAGAATACGGAAAAAATAAGGAAAAAAACCATCTCCTGATATGCCAGATCTTACATCGAGATACTGGTCATTTTACTCCAATTTTGAATCGAGACAGTGGCCGCAGATGTTTGTTACAGAATGCTTAGAGTGGTCGAAATTAGCCAACCTTGCCGGTACCGGTCAGAACCATGACTGTCCGAAATGAGTGGGGACGTGAAACCCGTGGCCGTAGAATTAAGACAGTGCTAGATTTCCTTTGTTTCATTTTCAATATTTCGCCAAGATTTTACGCGACGTGTGCCAAATTGTAAGATTTGTTAATTTTGTATGGTTGCAAGAAGAGTAGGGTAAAGATATTTCTCCCTAATTTTAGACGTTATTCATTTATGGATAAGTTTTGTTTTCTAAGGATATCATGGACCGAGCATGTGAGCAAAGATGAGGTCTTAGGGAGGTTACAAACAAGGAGGAGGCTTATACTTAACATCGGAAAGAGGCAGCTGAAGTTTCTGAGACACATAATGAGGAAGAAAGGCCTGGAGAATCTGATACTCACGGGTCGAATAGAGGAAGCGTCTTAACAAGGGACGGTGACACTGAGAACCACAGACGTATTGAGATGTCCAAGGACACATTTCAAAAGCTGGACAGAGTATTGCGAGACAGGGGGATTTCTTTGGTAACAAAGAAAAGAATACCGGTCCTTCTTCATGCCAGCGAATGTTGAACGATTTCCTTAAAGATGAAGAGACTCGAGGTGACAGAGATGAGGTTCTACAGAAGGATGCTAAGGATATCATGGAACAAGCGTGTGAGCAACGATGAGATGTTCCAAATAAGGAGGAATCTTATACTTAATATCAGGAAGAGGCAGCTGAAGTTTCTGGGATACATAATGAGGAAGGAGAGCCTGGAGAATCTGGTACTCACGGGTCGGATAGAGGGAAAGAGGGACAAGGGAAAACAACGCGTGTAATACCTGGTAGACTTAAGCAAGTGGATGACAGAACGTGGTCTGGGGGAGGAAGCAGAGGGAAGGACTCTTGTTGAGACCTGCAAGGGATAGAGGGAGGTGGAGAGCCATGATCGCCTACGTCCTTAAAGGATGTGACACGTAAAAAGAAACCGAATGTCCTCTGAAGTGCGATGAGAAACAGCTGCTTATCTTCTTTTTTGATGTTACTGAAGACAGACAGTCCATAGATGAACAGATCTACATGACTAGAGAGTCTATTCCATAAAAAAGGAGTTGTTTTTTTTTTTTAGCACCGGCGTTAGTTTTCTCTGTGTGAAATCGGATAAAAGTATCGGGATTAGTGCTATAAAAAGGAAACTCATATCAATTCGCTATTTAATCGCCTTCGAAATAAACCCTTTCTCAAGACACACACTGTATCCATCTTCGTTACTATTGATAGAAACATTCTCTCATTAGCCTCTATTTTTCTTTACGAGGTATGATCAAAATTATCGGGACTGCATTGTTGCATTCTCTTGGATTTCCTCGAAGTCTTGGAATTTTGTTCCTATCATGATATTTAGAAAGGGGAAAAGATTGCAAGGAGTGAGATCTGAGGAATATAGTGGTTATCTGACCTTTGAAATGTAGATTTTGTTCAAAAACTGCTGCACAAACCATATAATATTTGCGGTGATATGCGATCACACTGTACAAACTTTCCTTTCAAGCACTTTTATAAACGATGGAAGTGAGCAAGAATGCTATAACGTAGAGTGTATGCGCCACAGGCTTTAAGGTAAATCTGTAACAAGCGGCTTCACTGCGTACTTCTACCGCGTTACTGTATAATAGTCAGAATTCTTTTAGATTAAACTTCGTATACTTGGCCTGGAAAAGCCTTTTTTTTATTGAAAACATGCCATTTGTTCCAGACGGAATTATGAGAAAATGGGGTTCAAAGTTTCTTGTATTGAAAGAAGTTTATGTTTGCGCAAAATAAGGAAGACGCAATTGTCTTAATGGTAAACCATCTTGAAATTACATTTTACCGGAGACATATTTGCGTTATGACATTCAAGATAAAAGCTTCCTTCTTGATTGTTATTTGTTCAATGTTTCAACTCTGATTAAATTAAAGATAAACATTTTTTCTGTTTTAATAAGAATTGCAATATATTTTTCTTTTCTCTTTATTTTACACACAATTCCCACATACGCATGTATATGTTAACGTCCACATTAATGTACCCAGAAATAAATAGATAGATAGATAGATAGATAGATATAAAAAAGAATGAGTTAGATACGTGATGAGGTAGATTCATATATATTAGGTATTAGCTGATAAACCTATATATATATATATATATATATATATATATATATATATATATGTGTGTGTGTGTGTGTCTGTGTGTCTGTGTCTTTGTGTGTGTGTGTGTATTTAAGCAGCAAATTCTCTTGTAGGCATGTTTGATTGAATAAATTACAGACATTATTACTGTAATTTGTCATTATGCTTTTAAACGGTTAAAGCATAATGAAAAATTAAGGAAATGGATAGCAACACACAGCTTTGTATAAATACTTGTACCTCTGAACAACATATAGTTTTGTACTACTTGCACCCCCGAAGATGATCTTTGAAGAAGATCGAAAGTACTTGGGGAATGAGAATAAAAGAAATTTAGACAGTTATAGCACATTAACCTCATCCTTTAATATTAATACACGGAAAATTATTCGTGGGTATGAAAGGATTTTGTTAAAAATTAGCAAACATAATGTCGGTAATTTTTTCAATCATATATAAACAGATAGATAGATAGATAGATAGATAGATAGATAGATAGATAGATAGATAGATATGAACAGAGAGTCGATAGTTATGAACCTACATAGATATGAAGATTGGTTGATAGATAGGAATTGCTATCAGTAGATAGCGAAATATTTGGATCTTATATTGTATATATGTAAGTGTGAATGTGAAAGATATTTTTCCTCTTTGTTAAAATAGTCATCACCTAAACATTGTACATTCGATTTTGTTTTTGGGTTTTGTTACGGTATAGAATGCATAACTCACACGTTTAACAAATTTCAGTTATTGTGAATGTTTACGAAGCGGGTCTTTTTTTTTTTTTTTTTTTTTTGACAAGGCAGTAAAACCATTGTGACATAGAGCAAGGGCAATAATAAGGAGAGTAGATAGCAATTGACATTAAATTTAAATGTATGCAGCTTTAAACTTACGGCTACAAATAACCAGCTCAGTTGTAAATTGCTGAAATTTCGACGTCAGTCTAGTGCCGTGCTTAAATCTTAAAAAAACGTCTAGGTACCATAGCAAAGAGTTCCTCCGAACAATTACCATGAAAGTATTTAAAGGAAAGGGAGGCAAACTTACGGTAGTGTCAAAGTGACTGAAGCCCGAGACGCCAGATCCGGGCCAATAATATTGCTGATCCATCTTTGGATTTTATCAAAGAGCTCTAGATTTATAGCAAGAGCACCGGAGCATATCTGCCAGCAATATTCTAACCATAGAATAATGACAGACTTGAAAGATAGACCCTGGAGAGAAAAGTCGTCTAGCATCGCACATTAAGCCAACCTTCCGAGTAGCTATGGATTAAATATCGTCTTTCCACCTCATTTCAGCTGATAACGTCAGCCCAAGAAGGCGCGACCAGTCGCTTCCCTGGAGGTCAGCATCAGCCATGCTGGTTGAAGGCAGAGGCGGTTCTCTCAGGTGACCAATAGACCAATTCTACGCTTGCCCTGAATTTTATTCCATAGATGTTTCTGTTGAGTTGGGGATAGATGAATTCATACGTGTTCGCAATGGTATCTCTTAGAAAATTCTCCGTAACGAAACCAACTGGAGTTCGAACTCGATTCGACCGTTTCCCATTTCTGAACAACTACCTGTTCTTAGCCCCACGCATGGTACCTTTTTCTCCCGTAATGTTTAATTCACCACCTCGGCAAAGCGTTTTTGTGTTTCGAGCTAGATTTCTAAATACATACATTAAAACTATTAAATGGAAAATATCTAATTTTGTAGATAAAAAACGAACAAAAAACGTATTAAATATATTCCGCAGATACTGACTTCTGAATTTTTTCGTACATATCAATGGATTTCTTATCGTGGTCAGTTGTTCTACCATGCTCTATCTTAACAAGTACCAGAGTAAATCCCCCAAAAAGGAAAAGATGCTGCCATAGCTGAGTCTAAGCTTCCCAATTCTAACTATCTAGCCGTCGAAGAGTTCAAAAGTTATAAACAAACTCTTTGATTGCTGGTAAGATTCAAATTGTAAATAGAAAATAGAACACCATGGAAAATGGTATGGCCAGATTTCCCTTGAGTTCGGCTTGTTTTCCAAGATGAAGACATTTGTCTTTATATTAGATAGATTCGACAAAATGTAACCCTTTCACTAAACTGCCAGAAATCCTTTCTGTCCTTCTTTACTTAGAGATCGTTGCATTGTTTATTTGCATCTGTTTCTTATTTTCTCCCCCGTGCGATCACCGAAGTTAAGCAACGTCGAGCCTAGATGGGTGACCAATTGGGTATACCAGTTGCTGTAACCTTGGATGTGTGGCTGGTGTAATGGATTCGGGTTCAGAATTGTTAATCGGAGAGCGGAGTTCCAGTTCCCGTTGGGAAAGATATGAATCGAACTCTTCTGGCCCCCAAGCTATGGATTGAATAGTAGGACAGACTGATTTTTTCTGCTGGTAACATGGAATGCAACGCTTTGCTTATCGTAGTCAGTTATTCGGCTATGCTCAATCCTTATAAGATTCTGTTCAGTCACCCCCAAAAAGTGATATCTAAAGAAAACCAACCAAAACCTACTTATCCAGACTTGACTGAGCTCAGAAATCTTAAACTAAACTCTTGACTACTGAAAGGAATAGAGAATATCATGAACCAGGCAAGGATATTGGTATGGAGACTTTTCACTAGTGATCTATCTCTTGTCCAAGATAAAAAGAGTACAAATGTGTACATAGACAAAAGTAAAATTAAAATATATTAGCCATACCACCCATAATGTAGCATATATATATATATATATATATATATATATATATATATATATATATATATATATATATAAATTTGATTTATAAAACAACAGAAAACCTTAAGGTTCCATTGAATATAGTTTATTACCCCAGGAAGGTGTTTTTTCCTGGTTCCTTAGATCGCATTTCCAAGTAATTTATATGCTTGAAAATGTCATCTGAAGATCGAGGAAAAAATCACTTTCCTGGGGGAAATAAAATATAATCAATGGATCCTTAAGGTTGTCTGTGTTTTTTTTTTTTGTTTTTGTTATTTTTTTTTGATTAAATTAATATTGTCTGTTTTGTTTTTTTTTTTTAATTTTAATTAAATTTATATTCGTTCTGGTTTTACTTTGAGTTCTCTGGATTACATGGTCCTTGGGATTATCCATACGGATTACCAAACGTTTCATTACATAACTATATATATATATATATATATATATATATATATATATATATATATATATATATATATATATATATATATATAATATAACTATATATATATTATTTATATTTCATTACATAACTATATATATATATATATATATATATATATATATATATATATATATATATATTATAAACAGAGCATTTACTTAAATATGTATATCTATAAAAATAACGTATAAACAGAAAATATATTAAAATAATATATTAAAATAATTGTAAAACAATTCATATTATTATTACAATATATATATATATATATATATATATATATATTATGTTTATACGTTATATATATATATATATAATGGACAATAATAATAGACTCACCTGTCGGTTTCGACGTATGATGATCTGACAGCTTAATTGATTCAAGTATGAAACTGTGTGCGATAATCTTAAGTAGCTAGTCATTTACAACGAAGGCCGCATAGAGTGAGGAACAAGAGTGAGGATTGTGGGATGGGATCACTGTTAGATTGGCTGACCTTTTAGTTCTTGCGCTCGCTTCTTGATGATGATTCAGACAAGCAGATTGAAAACTGCTGAGTCCACTAAAGCAGATTGATCTCCATTCTACCCGCTGCAAGGCTAACTGCTCAAGGGTAGAAAAAATTATATATATATATATATATATATATATATATATATATATATATATATTGAATTTTCGCATTTTTATTTTTTATAGACCATGTACTTTTGACCTTTTATAAGATCATCTTCAGGGGTTAATTACAAAGAAAATCTGCAATAAAATCTTTATTCATGTTTCATAGTAATTTTAAAAACACACGTGTACGCGCTATGTTATAGTTATTTTAGTTATTTTAGTATTTTTATTTTTTTAATTTACTCGTAGTTATGGAATATTTGTTAGAAAACAAGCGTTTCAACATAAGGAACTTGGCCTAGAATTGGTAGATATGTAAAATGGCATTAATATATATATGTAATATACCTTTTAATATATTGTTATTGTCCTGGATTTGGAGTTTTTGTTTATTTTCATGGTGTAAGATATTGGTGTTGTCGACAAGTATTTTCTTGTATTTTGAAGGTGAACAGGAATATGTCTTTAGATGATGTGCAATAAAACTTGTATCCGACTTGTAAAAATTTCAATAATTACAGCGGATAAATTTTAAGATTCCAAAATATCTACAACAAATCGTCTTCGTTCGTGTTTTTATAAATCACCATCAAAACGAGATTTTATCGCAGTTACATTAATTTTGTCGTCTTAATTTATCCCTGAAGATTATCTTAGAAAAGTTCGAAAGTACTTGGGGTAAATAAAACTACATCGCCTGGCTTGATAAAATTTCATCTCAAAATCATGTCGGTTTAATTCTTTATAAAACAATGTGTCTGAAATGGAAATTATTTTCGCACAGTAAATCATGTTTTTTTTTTTAAACTTATTTTTTTTTCTAGTCAATCTTTGGGAGCCCAAAATAGTTTGATGATTCAGATGATGAATTCTTTCTAAGAATTAAATGTTTTGAATTGTTTCTAATAAACGATAATTCACCGGGATATAACTGTGACTGAGTCATCATTTCTTCGAAAAAAATTCAAAATGTCTAATCTAATTCTAAGAAACAATTCATCACATCAAAAATCCCCCTGTAATTTCTCATAGGTTGACTTCATAAAATAGATATTAGAAAAACAGAATTAACCGTACGAAAATGATTTACTCATCGGACACAAAAACAGATATACATCTATTTTCTGTTGTTTTATAAATTCTTTCGCTTTTCATATTTTTTAAATCCTT